ATGCATGCCACCATGCTTCCCACCATGAGGACAATGGAAGCAAAGTCCAGTTAAATGCTATCCTTTATATGGTCGTGGTGTCTCTTCATGGTATCAGAATACTAAGACACAAGGATATAAAATCTGCCTCAGATCACATCTCTATGGGCACAAATCTTCCACATCCCATTCCACCCTCTTGCCTGAGAATCTTAGAACCTGACTGTAGGCTGATAAATTGAAGTCTCCCCTATCTTGAGAAGATGGAGGCCCAGGATTCAGTGTGCCTTCCATTGAGTGAACACTTATTCTTACCATTATGTTTCTTTCCTCCTTCTGACTTCAGACTGTCTTTTGGTTGTAAGAAAAGATTTTGACCCTATCACAGGAAGGGAGCCATTAATCTTGGAAACCCCTAACGTTTTAGTCAAAGCATAGCATCAAGTACTGACCAGAAAAGTTATGAAAGAGTAAGGGCATATCAAAATCTTAGGAGGGGAAATGGTGCCACTCCCCCCTTCTACAAAATGAGATCGTTACCAGGGAATAGAAAGTGGGATCCACAGCTGACTGAGGTAAGAGTTCATCCTTTATGATGCCTGGGTATGTACATTTTTTAACAACTGCCTAAATGTAAGAAATAAAAGACCTGACCTCTGTACAAGAGATGTGAGTGGCTCTGTCTGTTTTCTCAGGATGGGAGTGTTTCTGGAAAGGCTTCACAGCAATGCATATGTCACATGGAGATTGTTATGAAGCACAGTCAATATGGAACTGCATGTTAACAGGGTTCCTAGGTGATGGTTGGGACATTATTCTTTCTGATCCAATGCAACACAGTCTTGGCAAACTATGCTCAGGTTTTTACATAGTGAGAAGCCTTATGGGGTGACATAGCAGGAGGGAAAGAGATTTGAGTCTTGATGCTTCACCCAAAGTGTTTGTGATTTATTCTTGACTACACATTTGAAGATGTTTGTACACAGATAAATCAAGGCATAATTTTTGATATCTGTATCCTAACTCCAGAACTTAGACTTTCTTTGAAGCCCACAGGATCATTGGGTGTGTCATCAGCCATGTAGAGGAAGAGCAGAAGAAAGACACCCCCTCATCACAGTTGACTGAAGCCAGAGCAGAAAACATCACATGCAGCTGGTGAAGCTTCTAGCCAACTTCGGGGAGATCAGGCTTTTTCACTCTTCTTGCAGGGATTTTGCATCTATAGTGACCTCAGGCACAAGTATCTCTGACTCCAGAAATTTGTCATTTTGCCCTTTAATTCTATGCCACTTTCCTCTCTGCCTTTCTGTCTGGGTCTCATCTGCCTTCACCTATATGATCTGGAATTTCAGGACTTACAGCAATACTGACCTTTAAAAATCAGAAATACAACAAGAAATTCAGGACCATTGTGGGTTAAAGTCTATTTGAGGCTAGACTGAGCTACATAGTGAAACTCTGATTCAATCAGTCAATCAATCAATCAACATTTCCCTACTTAGTGGCAGTGACTTCCATAGAAATAATATTTTCTTAAAGAAGTAGTGATGAGTCTGGAACATTTTCAAATTCTAAAGGATTTGTCAGTTTTATTTCCTGGGCTTGCAATCCACTTAAATTCACTTCACAATGTCCTACTTCGTAATTTTGTTTCCCCTAGAACAAAACGCTATGTGCTGAGAGGGGATGTGTTCAGAACTAGTAAGGAGTGGTTATTGAGTCACACAGACAGCTAGGTTGTACTTGCAAAGGGTTTATTAGAAGCTCAAAAGACAAAGATTTCTCTTCCTCTCCTCCAGGGTTTCAGTTTTCATTCCTTCTCCTTAGTTCAGAAAAGATTCTTCCTCTCAGTTCAGAGATGCCTGCTGAAGAGGCTAAAGAGACTTCCATGGGCATGCTAAAGACAGAAACATGTACCCCAGACCACCTACCAGAGGAAAAAAAATGAGTATGTATTTGATGCAATTTGAAACAATTTAAAAAGGCAGAGGTGAGCTTCACTGGGGCCTCAGAGAGGATCTGAATCTCTTGCCTGTTAAGCCTGCCGTGGCTGGTCTCTGTAGAAGTGGAAATGCTTGGAGGTCTCTGGTACCTTAGTTACTCGATCATATATATATATATATATATATATATATATATATATATATATATATA